CCGCCATACCTCCAAAACCCATACCTGAAACCGCCCTTCACTGGCAGCTCAAGATGGGCATGCCGCAAAAAATGTTTGCAAGTAAGTCTGGCAGCCATAGCTGATCCGTCACCAGCAGGTCACAAGTTTGTTTGGCCCCACTCTGCGGCGAGCTCGAGACCAAAGCTGGTGCGCTCGGAGCAGGAATCTGCCCACGACGGAGGAATTGAGCAAAGGCCGCATGGCAAATTTCTGGGCACCAAGATGGGCGTTTCCAAACAACCCAGGGCCCTGAGACAAGATGGTTTTCTTTTGTTTTTTCTTTCAAATTGATCCAGACTGTCGCAACGTACCAGTACCATTCTATATTTGTTGCCCTCGACACAAACGATGATGGTTGAAAGGGCCAGGATTGACCACCGACCGAGCGGAAGGGTTCCTAGGAAATACCCGCACAAGAACCCCTCGCAGGAAGGTCAATCCAGATTTGTTGGAGCTAAGAAACCAGCCAGCCGCAAGAGATCCATGCTTTCGGCAAGTGTTTGGCAAATTTCTCGCAGAACTTCCTGTGGCTTCGATTTGGTGTCCTGCGCCAGGCCTCACTGCGGTGCCTAAGCGCTTGGGCCCTCCGCGCCTTGGCCCTCCGCGCGAAACGGGCGTCCCAAGCTTTGCTTGGGCGAACTGGTTGAAACGCTGCCTTTGGTTTGTGCGGGCGTTTTGGTTTGCAGAATTGCTGGAGTCGTCGCGAATCTTTTCGTTGTGGCGCGTTGCTGGGGGTTTTCAGCTATGTTCCCGGCTACTCGCGGGTCGAAGTTGTTTGGTTACGGATATGTCGCTGTTTGCTTCTTCGGGGTTCAGGGGCGCGTGGTTTTACCAAAGGGCAAGCCCCCACTCAGGACCCAAGGCACTTTGCTGACCCAAAGGTCTCCAAGAGTGATGGGTGCCTAGGGTCCTGGGGTGATGCCTTTTTGGGGGGGGAGGGAGGGGGAGAGCGTGAAGAAGCACAAGATTCTTTGAGGAAGAAGGACGCGGCTGCAGTTCCGGCCTCGTCGGGCGGCCCAATCGTGCGGCTTGCAGATTTTGGTCTGGGGTTGGCAAAATCATGCTAACTTTGGATTGTTCCCCTGCAAAGATTGACATGGAACCAAACAAGGTGGGGGCTGGGTCCTCCAAAAGGAGCTTTTTGGGTTCCATGCAGTTCCGTAGGGGATTTATTCGGAGGACCATGCTAGTGTTAGTGGTGGTCTGGTTTGGTGACGAGGTTATGGGCTTGCCTTCCTCTTTGGAGTTGAGAAGCATCCGGATTCATCATTTTTAGTGTGGACACACATACACACACACTATCAACCTACCGGGTTGAATAATCAGGGGTCCCCATCTCGGAGTTATGTTTATACTACGCGGGTTTGTCTCCGGATTTGTCAAAAACTGGCATGAGCACGTTCCTGTCATGAACCCTGAGCACTGCGGGGTTTGAGCAGTTGTTTGTCATGGACGGCCCACCCATGCACAAATTTTGGTTATCGCACACATGCAGCCAACGTCCATTTGAACATTTGCAAGAAACCTCCTTGTTTGACCGTTCCTTCCGTGCCTGACAACCTGGACGATGTTTTACATGCTCCAATTGTGGATTGCTTGCACTCTTTCAGCATTCTTTTGGCACTCTTTCAGCAGAGACTCCACAGGCGGGGCATCAAACACCGACCCTAGACACAGGTTCATGGAAGGAAATGCAGTTTGAGCAACTTTGTACTGTTTGGCCAGATGCTCATTAACATGGGCTGGGTTGGGCGCTCTAAGCCGCGGTCAAAATTACTGGTCTACAGTCCTTTTGGGAATGGGGCATGCCTAGAAATTTCCCAAAACCAGGGGACTCACATGGACGCCAATTTTCCCTTTTCCTTGAGGGGGAAGCACATAGCTTTATTGTTTTTCCCCAGATAGTATAGGGGTTCTAACTTCTAATAAAGAAGGGAAAGTGATTTGCGAGATTGAGGGCCAGGTGCTGGGGGGCATGCAGTTTGGGGTGCTGGTGGAGGTGCTGTTTTGCGAGCTTGACGGCCGGGTGCTAGGGGGCATGCAGTTTGGAGTGCTGGTGGAGGTGCCGCTTTGCGAGATTGACGGCCGGGTGCTAAGGGTCATGCAGTTTCGGGAGGTGCCGCTTTGCGAGATAGGGGGCATGCAGTTGAGGTGTTGGTGGAGGTGCTGTGTTGCGAGATTGACGGCCAAGTGTCAGGGGTCATGTAGTTTGGGTGCTGGCGGGGGTGCTGTTTTGCAAGATTGACGGCCAAGTGCTAGGGGTCATGTAGTTTAGGGTGCTGGTGGAGGTGCCGTTTTGAGAGATTGACGGCCGGGTGCTGGAGGGCATGCAGCTTCGGTTGGTGGAGGGGGCATGTAGTTTGGAGTGCTTGGTGGAGGTGCTGTTTTGCGAGCTTAACAACCAAGTGCTAGGGTCATGTAGTTTGGGGTGCTGGTGGAGGTGCTGCTTTGCGAGATTGACGGCGGGGTGCTGGGGGGCATGCAGTTTCGGGCGCTGGTGGAGGTGCCGCTTTGCGAGATTGACGGCCGGGTGCTAGGGGCCATGCAGCTTCGGGTGCTGGTGGAGGTGCCGCTTTGCGAGATGGGGGCGTGTAGTTTGGAGTGTTGGTGGAGGTGCTTTTTTGCGAGATTGACGGCCGGGCGCTAAGGGTCATGCAGTTTCGGGTGCTGGTGGAGGTGCCGCGCTGGTGCCTGTGCTGTGTAAGGCGCTGATGGACAGCGGGGGGGGGGCGCTCAGTTTGGGGTGCTGTTTGGGGTGCTGGTTGAGGTGCTGGTGATGGTGCAGGCGCATTCTTGCAAGATTGATGGCCGCATGCAGTTTGGGGAGCTGATGCAGCTGTTTTGGGGTGATTGCCGGCGGGTGCTAGGGGGCCTGCAGTTTGGGGTGGTGGTGCAGGTGCTGTTTCGTGTTGCTGTTGGAGGTGCTGCTGACCGCGTGGGCTTATTTCCCAGATAGCTGGAAACCAGAGGGGTGTGCGGGGTACTGTTGACAGTACGTGATGGCAGGGTGCTCGGGGACGTGTCCGGTGCTGGCGCGGGTGCTGCGTTGGGGTGCTATTGGGGCTGCTGTTTTCGGGTGTTGGTGGTGGTGCGGGCGCATATGGATGGCAGGGTGCTAGGGCGGGTGCTGTTGTCGTGGTTGTCGCATCACCACGATGCTGGCCGCAGCATCATGATGCTGTCCGCAGCATCATGATGCTGTTGAACCGATTCGGACGTTGTGACGTTGTTGCTGCCCTAACTGTCGCGCGTAATGGTTTGTGGCTGGTGTATCATGATGATGTTGTCAACCACGTCATGATGCTGCTGCAATCGCTGCGATGCCGCGTTATGGTTCGTGTGTGTGGTGGCAGGCACAATGCTGTCAACATCAGGATGATGCTGAATTTCATTACACTGTCGCAAGATGATTCGTGGCTGTGGTATCATCAGGATGCTGCCCTTGCCATCACCATGATGCTGTGCGCATCATCATGATGCTGTCCGCATCATCATGATGCTGTCGAACTCATCAAGACGTTGTCTCTGCCTTTTTTCTGCTAGATATGTAGCGCGGAATCGTTCGTGGCTAGTGTATCAGCATCATCCTGTCAACATCATCGTGTTGGTGATGAACTCACTAGGACGTTGTTTGCGCGTCCATGAGCGCACTATGCTAAGTAGCTTTGGTATTTTCATGATGCTGTCAACATCATCAAGATGCTGTCAGCATCATCATCATCATGCCGCGGGAACCATTATGATGCTGCGTCATGGTTCGTAGCCGTGGTGTGCTATCTGGGGACTATGCTGGTGTATGTTGTTTTTGTTTTGGTGACCGTGGCTCACATTGTGTTCAAACAACCAGACCCCGGCGCCCCTTTCAAGTGAAATCACTATGAGTTGGTTCAGGCACAGGCTCTGTTTTCCAACCCCCAACCGTGTTTTGACCTTCGATTTGTCCGTTTGGTTTTTTGAGTGCCCGCAAAAAACAAGCTGGGGTGTGGAAGGCGCAGGGTGGCCTTGTTTAAGCTATAGTGACTTAAAACACGTTGGCGTTTCTCAACTTGGTGAACCCCCCTTTGGCATTTAAAGGATGCAAGGAAGCCGTTGCCGTTTTGGGGACACCTGCCAGAAAAACCCACGTTTAAACCAACTTGCGGCAGAGGTGATGCTTTTCCCACCTTGCGTGGCTGGGCCCCAAAGCGGGCGGCGCTTGAACCGCAGCCCTCTTTTGCCCTGAGCAAAAAGGCGGCGAGCCGGTGCTGGCCCCCGTGATTGAATCTCAGACTGTGAACAAAGTTTATGAAGTGGGCGATTGATTAGGCAGAGGTTTGATGCGTATGAGAGAGCTGGGAATAGCTTCGCCGTACGATAGATATCCTCATGATTTACTTGGGCCGGGTTATAAGAAGTCAGTCAGGGCATTTCTTTTTTTAAAAGTTGGACATGCAGGGCATGCGGCAACGGACAGCACCTGTGCTAGTAGTTGCGCCAGGGATCATGTCACGCGGGTGGTCAGCCATCAACACAGAGCACACATGTGTGCAAGGATGAAATATCACCTTTACACAGGGTTTACCGACCCTTGACCACAGCCCGCATCACAGGAGGAGTTGCAGCGAGGTCCATTTGCTTCGAGTGCCTAGAGTGAGCCGCCAGCGGCGCAACAGCGGATACCAACAAGATGCTGCGGATATGTTGGCTCAAGACGAGGTGTGTTCAATTCACGGAGTCCTTCATATTCCATGGTGCCCGGGCTGCATTGTTGTGCCCCGAGGCATCAGAGAGTCTGAAGGAATAAACCGTATCTTGGCGGGTCCGGTTCCTGAGACGTGTAGACTTTCCAGCTTGGAGACTTGCGAGGTGTGATTGTTGACATATCCCACCAAAGCTGATCACTTTTAGCAAGGGAACGAGACGGCGAACGGTATGGGTTCCAAGTGCCCCTGGAGCTTGTGGCACAGGAGAGAGAGAGAGAGAGAGAGAGAGAGAGAGAGAGAGAGAGAGAGAGAGAGAGAGAGAGAGAGAGAGAGAGAGAGAGCCGGGCCCCTTTGGGTCAAAGGATTGGTTTTGGTCTGTTCGGTGGCTTCCAGTAGCCTGCTACAAACATGTATGTTGCCCCAATACTGCTAGGGCTAGCATGGCAGCTTCCGAAGCGTTTTTGAACCAGTGATGCCTGAGGGCTAGCAAACATTCGGAGGTCAACTTCTGCTTCAACCAGGGGTCTGCTTCACGAAACCACCAGTTGGATGGTTTATATCGCTTCACTGTTGTTGGCATGTTTGTTCACTTAGGCCTTTTGCTTTTTTGGTTGGGGCCTGCGGAAAAAACACATGGAGCTTACCACAGCAAGGGTTGGAAAGGGTTGGCCGCTCCAAGCCCCCAGCTCGCAGGTGCCATTCGGAGTTTGGTTGCCGCCAAGCTGCAGCTGGAAGTCACGTGTGTGTGCCCTTGGTCTCGGGGGTACCTTCTTGGTGCTGAGGGGCAAGCTCATTTGCGGCAGGTGCGGGTATGACCGGCCTTTTTTCCCAAAAGCATCTCTGATGCTTGGGTTCTGCTTTAGGTTTTCTCTTAAGGTGCCTGGGAGCGATACAAGCTGTGACGACGGAGATAAGAAGGGATTTCCATTTCGTTGTGCTGCAGACCGGGCGTGCGATGCTGGCTGGGGGTGCAGACCGGGCGTACGAGGCTGGCTGGGGGGAAGGCGGTGTGGGGCAGACTGGGTGCGCGAGACTGGCGCGGCGGACGCTCGTGACAAGCGGAAACCGCCCCCGAGCGAGACTGGCGCGGGGGACGCTCGTGACAGGCCGAAACCGCCCGCGAGCCAGACGGGCGCGGGGGACGCTCGCCGCCCCCGAGCGAGACTGGCGCGGGGGACGCTCGTGACAGGCCGAAACCGCCCCCGAGCGAGACGGGCGCGGGGGACGCTCGTGACAGGCCGAAACCGCCCCCGAGCGAGACGGGCGCCGGGACGCTCGTGACAGGCCGAAACCGCCCTCGAGCGAGACGGGCGCGGGGGCCGCTCGTGACAGGCCGAAACCGCCCCCGAGCGAGACGGGCGCGGGGGACGCTCGTCGTGACAGGCCGAAACCGCCCCCCAGCGACTGGCGCGGTGGACGCTTGTGGGGGACGCTCGTGAGAGGCCGAAACTGCCCCCTGACATGCGGAAACCGCCCGCGAGCGAGACTGGCGCGGGGGACGCTCGTGAGAGGCCGAAACCGCCCCCGAGCGAGACGGGTCTGGGGGACGCTCGTGACAGGCCGAAACCGCCCCCGAGCGAGACTGGCACGGTGGACGCTCGTGACATGCGGAAACCGCGCGCGAGCGAGACTGGCGCGGTGGACGCTCGTGACAAGCGGAAACCGCCCCCCGAGCGAGACTGGCGCGGGGGACGCTCGTGACAGGCCGAAACCGTCCGCGAGCGAGACGGGCGCGGGGGACGCTCGTGACAGGCCGAAACCGCCCCCGAGCGGGACGGGCGCGGGGGACGCTCGTGACAGGCCGAAACCGCCCCCGACAGCGAGACTGGCGCGGTGACAGGCCGAAACCGCCCCCGAGCGAGACTGGCGCGGTGGACGCTCGTGACAAGCGGAAACCGCCCGCGAGCGAGGCTGGCGCGGGGGACGCTCCGAAACCGCCCCTGAGCGAGACGGGCGCTCGTGACATGCGGAAACCGCCCGCGAGCGAGACTGGCGCGGTGGACGCTCGAACCGCCCCCGAGCGAGACGGCCCCCGAGCGCGACGGGCGCGGGGGACGCTCGTGACAAGCCGAAACCGCCCCCGAGCAAGACGGGCGCGGGGGACGCTCGTGACAGGCGGAAACCGCGTTCGAGCGAGACTGGCGCGGTGGACGCTCGTGACAGGCGGAAACCGCTTTCGAGCGAGACTGGCGCGAGGGACGCTCGTGACAAGCGGAAACCGCCCCCGAGCGAGACGGGCGCGGGGGACGCTCGTGACAGGCCGAAACCCCCACCGAGCGAGACGGGCGCGGTGGACGGCTGGACGTGACAAGCGGAAACCGCCCTCGAGCGAGACTGGCGCGGTGGACGCTCGTGACAAGCGGAAACCGCCCCCGAGCGAGACGGGCGCGGGGGACGCTCGTGACAGGCCGAAACCGCCCCCGAGCAAGACGGGCGCGGGGGACGACGAAACCGCCCCCGAGTGAGACGGGTGCGGGGGACGCTCGTGACAGGCCGAAACCGCCCCCGAGCGAGACTGGCGCGGTGGACGCTCGTGACAGGCGGAAACCGCCCTTGAGCGAGACTGGCGCGGTGGACGCTCGCGACAAGCGGAAACCGCCCGCGAGCGAGACTGGCGCGGTGGACGCTCGTGACAAGCGGAAACCGCCCCCGAGCGAGACGGGCGCGGGGGACGCTCGTGACAGGGCGAAACCGCCCCCGAGCGAGACGGGCGCGGGGGACGCTCGTGAAAGGCCGAAACCGCCCCCGAGCGAGACTGGCGCGGTGGTCGCTCGCGACAGGCGGAAACCGCCCTCGAGCGAGACTGGCGCGGTGGACGCTCGTGACAAGCGGAAACCGCCCGCGAGCGAGACTGGCGCGGTGGACGCTCGTGACAAGCGGAAACCGCCCCCGAGCAAGACGGGCGCGGGGGACACTCGTGACAGGCCGAAACCGCCCCCGAGCGAGACGGGCGCGGGGGGACGCTCGTGACAGGCCGAAACCGCCCGCGAGCGAGACTGGCGCGGTGGACGCTCGTGACAAGCGGAAACGAGACGGGCGCGGGCGAGACTGGCGCGGAGGACGCTCGTGACAGGCCGAACCGCCCCCGAGCGAGACTGGCGCGGTGGACGCTCGTGACATGCGGAAACCGCCCGCGAGCGAGACTGGCGCGGTGGACGCTCGTGACATGCGGAAACCGCCCGCGAGCGAGACTGGCGCGGTGGACGCTCGTGACATGCGGAAACCGCCCGCGAGCGAGACTGGCGCGGTGGACGCTCGTGACATGCGGAAACCGCCCGCGAGCGAGACTGGCGCGGTGGACGCTCGTGACATGCGGAAACCGCCCGCGAGCGAGACTGGCGCGGTGGACGCTCGTGACATGCGGAAACGCCCGCGAGCAGACTGGACGCGGTGGACGCTCGTGACATCGCGGAAACCGCTTGCGCGAGACTGGGCGGCGCGTGAGAGACGCTGCGGAAAACGGCGCGGTGGACGCTCGAGACACGCGGAAACCTTCGAGCGAGACTGGCGCGGTGGGACGCTCGTGACGTGAAAACGCCCGCGAGCGAGACTGGCGCGGTGGACGCTCGTGACATGCGGAAACCGCCCGCGAGCGAGACTGGCGCGGTGGACGCTCGTGACACGCGGAAACCGCCCGCGAGCGAGACTGGCGCGCGGACGCTCGTGACAGGCGGAAACCGCCCGCGAGCGGGACTGGCGCGGTGAACACTCGTGACAGGCGGAAACCGCCCGCGAGCGAGACTGGCGCGGTGGACGCTCGTGACAGGCGGAAACCGCCCGCGAGCGAGACTGGCGCGGTGGACGCTCGTGACATGGGGAAACCGCCCGCGAGCGAGACTGGCGCGGTGGACGCTCGTGACATGCGGAACCCGCGAGCGAGACGGGCTCGGTGGACGTTGTGACATGCGGAAACCGCCTGCGAGCGAGACTGGCGCGATGGACGCTCGTGACATTCGGAAAGCGCCCGCGAGCGAGACTGGCGCAGTGGAGGCTCGTGACATGCGGAAACCGCCCGCGAGCGAGACTGGCGCGGTGGACGCTCGTGACATGCGGAAACCGCCCGCAAGCGAGACTGGGGCGGTGGACGCTTGTGACACGCGCAAACCGCCCGCGAACGAGACTGGCACGGTGGACGCTCGTGACACGCGGAAACCGTTCTGGCGCGGGGGACGCTCGTGACATGCGGAAACCGCCCGCGAGCGAGACTGGCGCGGTGGACGCTCGTGACAAGCGGAAACCGCCCGCGAGCGAGACTGGCGCGGTGGACGCTCGTGACATGCGGAAACCGCCCGCGAGCGAGACTGGCGCGGTGGACGCTCGTGACATGCGGAAACCGCCCGCGAGCGAGACTGGCGCGGTGGACGCTCGTGACATGCGGAAACCGCCCGCGAGCGAGACTGGCGCGGTGGACGCTCGTGACAGGCGGAAACCGCCCGCGAGCGAGACTGGCGCGGTGGACGCTTGTGACATGGGGAAACCGCCCGCGAACGCCCCTGGACGCTCGCCCCCGAGCGAGACTGGCGCGGGGGACGTTCGCGCGGAAACCGGCGCGGTGGACGGCTCGTGACATGCGGAAACCGCCCGCGAGCGAGACTGGCGCGGTGGACGCTCGTGACATGCGGAAACCGCCCGCGAGCGAGACTGGCGCGGTGGACGCTCGTGACATGCGGAAACCGCCCGCGAGCGAGACTGGCGCGGTGGACGCTTGTGACACGCGGAAACTGCCCGCGAGCGAGACTGGCGCGGTGGACGCTCGTGAAACCGCCCGCGAGCGAGACTGGCGCGGTGGACGCTCGTGACATGCGGAAATCGCCCGCGAGCGAGACTGGCGCGGTGGACGCTCGTGACATGCGGAAACCGCCCGCGAGCGAGACTGGCGCGGTGGACGCTTCGTGACATGCCGGCGAGCGAGACTGGCGCGGTGGACGCTCGTGACATGCCCGGCTCCATGTGAACAGCCCGGCGCTACCTGACCCGAACAAACGGTGCCAATGTGTTTCTAGGACAACCCTCTCTTCAGAAGCTGTAGCCTCTTGGGGTTCGCCCTACTTATTTGGAAGCAGCCTGGAAGCACGTTGACATGAATATGCTGAGCACACTCGGCCCAAACAAAAGGGCGCATGAACATCCGAACAGCTGACCCCGGTCTACTCAGATCGTGGTTCAACACTGTGTCTCAGACTTGTTTCGGACAGGCGTCAGACCCACCAAGTGACCGAGGCTTGTCCACACCGAGCCCCCCGCAAAAGCGCAGCGCCGGCCCCGTCTCCACACACCTGCGGCGAATCCACCCAACTTGCCATCCACACGCATCCGATTGACAACGTGCGCGGCCCTTTCCACAAAGTCACCAGTTGCAATTGGTTGCGAATGGGAAAATAGGTGGAGAAACTAACGAATCCAAGCAAGCTTACGAAGCAAGTTTGTGAAGGCCACGTGCACGGCTCCATGTGAACAGCCCGGCGTTCCAGGTGCGCCAAAATTGTCATTTTTGCCGCACACCTGACCCGAACAAATGGTGCCAATGTGTTTCTAGGACGAACCCTCTCTTCAGAAGTCTGTGGCCTCTTGGGGTTCGCCCTACTTATTTGGAAGCAGCCTGGAAGCACGTTGACATGAATATGCTGAGCACACTCGGCCCAAACAAAAGGGCGCATGAACATCCGAACAGCTGACCCCGGTCTACGCAGATCGTGGTAACACTGTGTCTCAGACTTGTTTCAGACAGGCGTCAGACCCACCAAGTGACCGAGGCTTGTCCACACCGAGCCCCCCGCAAAAGCGCAGCGCCGGCCCCGTCTCCACACACCTGCGGCGAATCCACCCAACTTGCCATCCACACGCATCCGAATTGACAACGCGCGCGGCCCTTTCCACAAAGTCACCAGTTGCAATTGGTTGCGAATGGGAAAATAGGTGGAGAAACTAACGAATCCAAGCAAGCTTACGAAGCAAGTTTGTGAAGGCCACGTGCACGGCTCCATGTGAACAGCCCGGCGTTCCAGGTGCGCCAAGATTGTCCTTTTTGCCGCACACCTGACCCGAACAAATGGCGCCAATGTGTTTCTAGGACAACCCTCTCTTCAGAGTCTGTGGCCTCTTGGGGTTCGCCCTACTTATTTGGAAGCAGCCTGGAAGCACGTTGACATGAATATGCTGAGCACACTCGGCCCAAACAAAAGGGCGCATGAACATCCGAACAGCTGACCACGGTCTACTCAGATCGTGTTGTAACACTGTGTCTCAGACTTGTTTCAGATGGGTGTAGAGCGAGCTTATGCCTTGTTTCCAATTTGAGAGTGGTAGTTTGTGCGGATCCATTTTCGGATTTCTGCGATTGGTTCTTCATGATAAATCGGATGACTTCGTGCCTTCCATGTAGTGCGGGGCCTGTCATGTTTCACCCGTGCCTTTGCCTGTTTCTCTGTGCTTGAGTCGCGGTTGCTCCCCTTCTTCATCTGTTTGGGGTTGATTTCCCAACTGTGAACAACTTAAATCTTGGTTTGCCTTCGGACCCTTGAGCCGGAAAACAACGGGATCCACATGCCATGGGGAGTGAGGCTGGTTTGCTTTTGGGTTCCCGGGCTCCTCTTGTTTTTTGCGGGGTTCCCTAGGCAATGTTTGAGCCCACAGCGGGGGCATTCAAGCGTCCTGTGACTGTGCTAAGGTGCTGTGTCCCCATCAAGGCAAACCGCAAATCCGATGCATCCTCCAAGTCATTACAATGCTTAGCCTGCTCTATGGCACACTTTATGAAGCAGGTTCCAAAAATGTTTTTCTATAACCCCCTTCCAATTGGGACCCCCGAGATCCCACCCTTTTGTGGCAACAAGTGGGCTTCTCAAAAAGCGCTCAATTGGTGCTCAATTAGTGCTCACTTATCAAATAAAACCGCCGATTGGTACGTTCAGAGCACCACGAGTGTTGACCAGGGTCTGGAATATGGGGGATAAGGAATCGCGGTGTCAATCCAGAGTCTCGACCGGATTTCTTATTTGGTAGGTTTAGGCGAGAGCTCGTTTTGACATAGATTTAGAATATGCCAATGACTGCCAGAAGGCTACGGGAAGACTACAAGAAGACCACGGGGTCCAGATGCGGTTTTTGGGCTCCGAACGCATCTGGGCGTGGAACGAGGGGGAAAACAAGACAAAGAAGACTACGAGCAGACGACCAGAAGACAACCGGATGACTGCCGGAAGCCTACTGGAAGAGTAAGGATCACACAACAGCTTGTTTGTAGCTGATTTTTAAGGAAGCCCCTCCAAACAAGTGGCTGCGTATAGGAATTTTAACAGGGATGATGATGGACATAAGTCCCCAAATGATGTCCACTAACAGGGTCCCCCATTCACCATTACACATCACATCCCAGTGACAAGGATCAAGCAAAAGTTTGTAGTTCCCCAGATAGTGAAAGGTATAGGGGTTCTAACTTCTAATACAGAAGGGAAAGTAATTTGCGAGATTGCCGGCTGGGTGCTAGGGGGCATGCAGTTTGGAGTGCTGGTGTAGGTGCTGTTTGTGCCGCTGGTGATGCCGCGAGTGCATTTTATTTGGATTGGGGGTGCTAGGGTATGCAGTTTGGGTGCTGGCGCAGGTGCTGCTTTGGGGTGTGCAGGTGACAGTGCCGGCGCACTTTTGCAAGATTGGCGGTAGGGTGCTAGGCATGCAGTCTGGGGTGTTTGCGAAGGTGCTGCTTTGGGATGGTGTTTGGGGTGCTCTTTGAGGTGCTGGTGATGGTGCGGGTGCATGTTTGCCAGATTGACGGCCGCGTGCTCTGGGAGCGCTGTTCGGGGTGATGGCGCGGATGGTTTTGGGGGTGGTGGTGACGGGCATGGCGTTTTTGCGAGATTGACGGCTGGTGCAGGTGCTGTTTTGGGGGGCCTGGTGACGGCCAGGTGTGTTTTTGCGAGATTGACGGCATGGTGCTGGGTGGCATGCAATTTGGGAATTCTTGTGAAGTGCCACAGTGCAATCGTTGGCACGTGTTTCGCTATCTGGGGTCTATGCTGGTGTAACTTATGTTTAAGCAAAACCCCTGAATTCAATCGGAAACCTGATTTCAAAAAGACGACTGCATCATACCGCAGCTTCCTGCGCAGTGTGAGATCAAACCTGAGGCTTGCGAGCCTGGGCGCTGCTGTGCGCCCCTGGGACGCACACAGACGAAGAGTTCCATAGGCCCACCTGTAACTATTATACTTTCAAGTTCTTCTACTTTTCCCTGGGACAGAAAAGCATGCGCTCTCCCCTCCAAACTACGCCCGAAATCCACCCCTAACCCAAACCTACCTTCCACACGCCCGCCCGAAATCCCCCAAACCAAGCCCAACCCAACCTCGCAGCACTTTAGCCCAAGCCATTTCAGTCAGAGTCGCCCAGTCGCCCAGAAACAAAAAAGGAACAAAACAGCACCGACGGCCCAGGGCCCAGCAGCATAGATGTGTCGGGTGACCACCTGGTGCAGCGTCTGTGGCCACGGCCCCGGCACGTGGAGCCCTTGGGCCTGGGGCCAGTGGCCGTGGACCACGAGAGGCGCGTGGAAACCTCCCCTGGTTGGCTGAAGGGGGGGAGGGAGGGGGGGTTGTGGTAGTGGGTCCGTTTGGGTTTTTGCTCTGTTGGTGTAAGTTTGTTTGTTGGTGTGCGGCTTTGTTGGTTGTTTTGTGCTGTTTGGCTTGTATTGGTTGGTTGGTCGGTCGTCAGTCGGTGGGTTGGCTGGTTGGTTGGCTGGCTGGCTGGCTGGCTGGTTGATTGGTTGGCTGGCTGGCTGGTTGGTTGGTTGGGGCGGTTGGTTGTGTGGGTTTCGTTTGGTTTGGTTTGGTTGGTTGGTTGGTTGGGTTTGTTTGGTTGGTTTCTTTTTTCTTTGTTTGTTTCTTCTTTTGTGGCCGGTAATGTCAGCAAGAAGGGATCGCATAGCGGTGAAGGGCCTGGCACGAACCGAATCCATTTCTCCAAACTCACACGTTTCGCCAAACTTGGACTGATTTTGTCTAGAGGTTCTCCAACCGCAGGCCTGTTGCTGCAAACTCAGTTATAAACTTAGGCCCATGTTCTCGAAAAGTCGGCCGAACTCGTGTTGGAGACGCTCCAAACTCAGGCCCGCCTCAGGCCCATGCTCTCCAAACTCGCCCAGAGTTTCGAGGTGTTCCAGACTGTCCGTTCGCTCCCAACTCAGGAACTTGGGATTCTGCAAATTCTGGCTGTCGCAGATCTTCCAGATTCGCGCCTGTTTCTCCGAACTCGCCCATTTCTCCAAACCCGGCCTGAGTTCGGAGAACCACAAGGCTCCTATCCTCCAAACTACGGCTCTTCTGCGCCAAGCTGAAAGCCCCCCCATCATTGCCTCGGACAGAACGCTCATGTTTCTTCAAAGTAACGCTGATTTTGTCAATGAAAAATCGTGAGCGGAGCTTCAACAAAAACCCTGGCCTTGGTGTTTTTCCTTCGGTGTACTCAAGTACATTGCCCTAATCCCTGTCAGAGTAGTGGAACGGGCAATGCCACAAGCAACGCTTCCCGTGACAGGCTTGCCAAGGCGTGTTGACCATGTCTGAGAGATAGAAGCCAGTTAAAAGCCTGATTGGCTTGGATAGCTTTGTCGCGGCAGGGTGCGGCATGGTCCAATCAGCCTTAGCATGGGGTTGCCGCTGGCGGGACCTTCTCTGGTTTGTGGTTGCAAAAACGGAGTCCGAGCTGCTTGAGGCACTTGGAAAGTGGGGTGTGCGAAGCTTGCTCACAAGCCGTGGCCGCTTCTGCAAAAACATTATTCCCCGAAACTGGGACATGTATCTTAAGTTCAGGGCAAGAACGATGTCGGCAAATTCCCGATGCCGGATATGATTGATACCTGGGTCTTCCGTGGGCACTTTTTTCTGGATTTTCCTGTTTCGAGCAAAAATAACGCTCATTTCATCCAAAAACGCTCAATTGGAAAGAAAACGCTCAATTGGAAAGTGGTTCTGGTGCGTGTCCGCACATTTCCGCTCATTTCCCGCCGATTTCCGCTCATTTCCCGCCGATTTCCGCTCATTTTCCGGGAGACAACTTGCCAAATCATGCCAAATCAAGATTTCCGCTCATTTTTTAGTTTTTCCGCTCAAAATCTGAATTGAGCAAAAAAATTGCCCAGAGCCCTAAAAAGTGACCAAATGGAAGATCCAGGTATCCACCCCTTAAGTTGCTTGTTGGGGACGAAAACAGAGAGTGAGCGGTTTGCGACACTGAAGACAACCCGATGTCCCCCGTTTCTGGCGAGACCCTTGGAACGCTTCTTCAAAGTTTCCCCGAAACCTCACTCAAATCAAAAATGGTTGCAATTAGATCGTCCTTTTTGATGGCCAGCTCACCTGCCACAAACGAGCTCAGGATGAAGGTTCCTTGCTGTGGGATCCTTCAACCCGAATGTTGGAACTCACAATTGCAGACCTAGACGATTTGCCACACATCCGCCAGAGGGAAGGCCTTCTATCGCCGGCAGGCACCAGTTCCAGGCAGTGGGCTGTGGCTCATCCCCTCTGGCCCCAGCCTCAGCTCGCACACGAACTTGAACCGAAGAAGGCCATATTTCTTCAGCCCAGGCGTCTTAATGGAAAGAGAGATTGTCAGTCAAGTTGTCCCCTGAACCCCCTGAGCCGCAGCCATGGGCTGACCACTCACACTGTTTCCAGTCCGTCAACTTGGGGCATGGGTGACTCCTTCCAAGGAGTCCATGAAGCCAAGAGGCTCAGGGACAGTCCTTTGCTCATGGTAGCAGCATATCTTGAGTGCCCACACACCTCAAGTGCAAATGCAAGGATGCCTGCTCGAGTGATCGGTCCTCAACATCAATGCACAAGAGAGAGGTGAAACGGCCCAGTTCAAGTCTGTTTCTTGTCCAAGCGGGCCTTTTGTTTGCATCACAATGAGTCGTACATGCCGGAGTCTCAACATTTCTGTTTGCCCTGCCCTAAACCAGCCGGTTGCCCCTAATTTGACTCAATTACGCGAACCCCAAACCGTGCACCCACCCAAAACGAGCCTAAGCACCAATGTCGGTCCAAGCTACAACTGCTAGTGGGGGTGGCTCCCACTCAGCCAACTCCCATTCTATCAAGAAATGCAACATTTACACCAGGACCCGATTGCTGTGTGAAAAGGAGTCTGGGAAACAAATGGCAATGAACCAGAAACCCCGTTGAAAGTGGCGGGTGGACATAACCCCACCTAAATCATGCCCACAAGGGGTCTCTAATTGAAATGCAAACAAACAAAGTGAGTCGAACAGTTGATGTTGTTTTTCCCTTAAACCTCCAAAAGGTCCGTCTTGTTCCAACGACCCTTTGCTCCTTTGGGTTCCTTGGCGTGCTGAGCTGAGCTAGGCCGGGTGCCACGTGCTGAGCTCCGCCTTCAAGAGGTACAAAGTTTTGTTCTTCCCCCATCATGCGGACCTCGATCCTTGGCGGAGGGGTTTTGGTTTCTGGCCTTTGTCTCTGTGAGCAGGACTCCGAGAGAAAAAGAACAAAAACACTCGCAGCATTGGTTTCTGTACAGTGGAGGAGTTTTACGGTTTTACAGCGGTACTTAGGTGTGGCTCAAGATTAACCGATCGGAGGGGCAAAACGCAGCTTTTGGTCCATGTTTCCACTTCCCAGGGCAACCCTTTTGGTACCGGTTTTTTGAGCCACAGCCACTTTCCAACTTTAGGGGTGTTTGGACCTATGTTGGGCAAAGCTCGAGGTTTCACCTTTCTTCTGTTTTGGACCAGTTTGTTCTAGTTGCAAAGAGGATCAAACCACGAACACGATGCACTTGTCCTTGTCCGCAGCTCGCGCAGAGCGTGAGTTGACCAGGGTTCCGCGAACTCTCACCTGTGGCGGATTGGAATCCTGGAGCCGTGTGAAGGATGGTGGCTTTTGGATCAAGGAACTGAAGGGGGGTCTTGTTTGGCGCTTTCAGCCAAGGACAGCTACTCATTGCTTGAGACGGGCTCCAACAGCAGGCGGGGAAGCGGAGGGAGGGCCTGGGATGCCTGAGATGGGAACCGAGACCCCCTTCCGGAAATTTGGATCAGTTGGGGGACACGCTCCCGGTTTGTGTAGGACGGGTTAGGCAAAATCAGGGGTCAATGAAAACACCTGACCAAACCGCTGGTTGATACATCTGGGCCAATTGAAAAATCACCCTGGCCAGGCGATTAGTGGGATTTTCTTGAATGCGATTTTGTGGATGTATCCTTTCAGGAACCCGGAACCCTGTGCGCTGTAGTTGAGGCTTCTCCTGCGTTATACAATCCCTTAAGCTTTTCAACGCAGCCGCAGGCAGCACAGTCTGGGTAGCGCCTTTGGGGTTTCTTTTGAGACAGGCCAATCGGATTGCCTTTCATTGTTTGAAGGACAACCCAGCCAGGCGTATACGTCCGAACCGATCGGCTTATTTGAGGGGGGGAACCTGCACACGGTGAGGCAGGCCTGGCCTGGATGCTTTGCGCCGGAAAAGATCTGACATTCTTGTGAGCAACTGACATCATCTATTGGAGGTCTACTGTTCCCGAATTTCCCACAGCAACCAGGGGGCCAGGCCCCAATTCGCCCATCCGGAGTTGTAATTGGTGTGCCCGACAGGCCGCCGTTGCGTGCACGCTTGAGATGAATGTGGAAGGTAAGTGAGATTTCACTCATTGACTTCATTTGGCTCGAGTACGCCAGAAGCCCATTCTGATGTAATATGTATACGGCACCTTTGGGTCGCGATTTGCGACACCAAACACTCATTGCACAACGCGCCCTTGCCAGCCACTTGCGGGCGAGACGGCGGCAGTGCACAACTCAGTTTAGGGTCGGTGTCAGAAGGCCGTGCCTGGGATTTTGGGTCAACATTTGGGCCCGCGTTTTTGAGCATACCCTTTGCGGGGTGGTGTCAAAGGAAAACCCAAAGGAAGGCCACAATTGTTGGGGTCGCCCTATCGCGTTTGGCAACGTCAACTTGAGATTCCAGGCCCACTACTCAGAGGAACCCCCTTGAATGGGATCAATTTCAACAGGTTTTGGGTAAACAAAGTCGGTAACATCTCATACCTGCACTGATAGACATCTGCAATCGAGGGATTGATTGCACATTTCAAGCGCAAGTGGCTGAGTCGCAGCCATCGAAAGCTGCCGGTTCCAGTTTTGCTTGGGGAGAGCCCGAGGTCGCTTTGGCTCAGGGTCCTTTTCCTGTCAGTGGAACACTGGCCCTGAAAAGGACGCGTAGTTGCAGTTTGGGGGTGAAGCCCACCCAGCAAGTTCTTCCAAAATCCCAGCTTTGCCTTGTTGGATACCTCCACTTCTTGGTCCTGCCGGCCGAAGCCGGCCATGGCGTGAAGCGCTCGTGAACCATCCGCTCGAGGGGGCGAATTTCCGACGCCAGGGCATGAGGGAATGCCATGGCGGATCCGCGCAAGGCCACGCCAGTCTTGACGAGTTTGTGCAAGGAGGGCGATGTCTCCGGGGCCATCCGCCTGCTTTCGCGGCTGCGACGTCAGGCTAGGTGTCCTTCCTAGGTCAGATTGCAAACAGAAGCAGCGAGGGTTTCCAGTGGCTTCAGGTTGGTAGTGGGAATCCATCTTACGTTCTCCATGGAAACGTGTAAAGCTCGGAATGACCCGGAAAAGATGATGTTCCGTTTCGTTTCCCTTGAAGCCAACCTCGAAAAAGCTATCCTCATTGTTCAAGTTGGTTTTTTTTGTTGGGGGGGGAGGGGATGACTTCTTTTTGGGTCGAGTTCCAAAGGAAAGCCACAGTGATGCCACCCCTCTTGTGGGACTGATCTTTAACGCCACCTTCTGGGCGATTCAGAGCCATAGCAAGAAGAGGTATGAGAAGCTTATGGCTCCTCAATAGTCGCTAGGCTGCAATGGTTTTGCTTTCTGTGGCTTTGAGTCAGTCAGCATATGATGTGAGTTTCCTTTTGGTGGGTGCTGCCCAAAGGGATGTGGGTGCGTGTGTTTTGAGGCTACGCTCTTTGGGGTATAAAGGGGGACCAATGGGAGAAGCAAGCTTTTTTTGGGGGAGCGTTTCCCCAATTTTGACACACACCATGAGACCATGAGTTTTCATGGGGTGGTGGACATAAGTCCCATGTCCACCAAAGGGTTCCTTTAAAAAAACAAAAACATAAAAAACAAAAACACAACCCTAAAAAACGTTCTTTTTTTGTGCGGGGCGGGGGGTGGCATGTTGACACGCACACACAAGCACGCAAGCGCACAGTCACATACAGACATACATGCACGCAGTCACCGGTATGGGGAGCCTATGGTCAGGCCGTGCAGTTGGACGCGGTGCACTTCCGCGTGGTCTTGTTCGGGGCCGCTTGGGCGCAGAGCTGGCGGCTTGCCGGTGGGCTGCTGGCAGACATGGCGGCCCAAAACATCGAAGCTGGGTGAGCATGTCGAGGGGGTCTATGGGGTCTTGAGTGATCCTCTCCCATGAGTCAAGTTTACCTTTGGGTGGTTATGTTTTTTTCCCCTCGGAAGAACAATATGTAATATTTTGGCAACCTACAGACTCTCAAACTGGGGGCATTATTTTGAGCATTTCTGGGGTTATCAAAGTCAACAACTGGGGTGGTGTTTCTTCGGCCACTTGTGGGGGTGACTTTGCTACTGGTAAAGCAATGGGCCAGTCAAAATTACTTTTCACGCTTTTTGCCTCTCGTAGGGTGCAGGGATGTCGGCGGGCTCATGAAAAGGGAGCATTTTGAGGTGGTCTCAAAATTACTTTGGATGGGCGGGTTCCCTTGAAACCGCCATCTAGCTGGAATTATGTTCACTGTTTTTCGACACATACCTGCGTTTGTGTCCAAATGAGGACGTCTTTTTTGAGTAAAGGAAAGCCAAAAGGAGAATCAACATTCTGGGGGTCCCCGAAATAACAGTCGTTTTACCAGCTTATGCGTAAATTACCTGCACATTCAATGGAAACACCAGCGACTACATTGTTCAACGTAGCTTGCAAGACGATTTGAGCAAGCAACAATATTTGTTCATTTGCTGATTTTTCTCCACCAAACTGGGTGCACCCGAGCTGGAGAAGGCTTATTTTGGAAAGCCCGAAGTTACCGCAATTCGAACTGATTGGAAGACAGCTGAGGGGCGTGCTGTCCACGGGAAATATCAAGTTAGGTATCAGTTTGGTGTAAATTCATGTCATGTCTGTTGTACAGTTTCGAATATTTGCCATACACGTTTCGATCGACACTGCTGTGATTTTTATAAGACGCTCGCAGAAGCAGAAGTGGCTCGAGCGCGGAGGCAGAAACAACAACCACAGGGATGCAAACACACAATCCCAAGGCATTCAATGTTGTCAACCTCTTTGCATGAATCGCATTCAAATCAGCATAGGTTAGATCCTCCATTCGCTGCCATGGAACGACTTGTTCCGCCGCCTTTCTATCCATATTCCGGCACTTGTGACGAGCGCGACTGTGTGTCTGAGATTCTTCCGGGCAGGCTGTACTTGACCAACTGGAGGGGAGCTGAGAATAAAGAAGCCTGCAAAGGAATCTCTCATGTCTGCTCTGTTGGCGAGGAGTTTGATACAGAGCCACTGAACAGCGACAAAGATAGCCATACAGCGACGTCCACACAATTAGTCACATACTCCCAAATATCGGTGACTGACGATGAGGAGCAGGCTGGTGTTATGACTGAAAGTCTGAGGAAAGCCACCAAGTTTATGCATGGCGCCTTGCAAGATTCTGCAACAGCTAAAGTTCTCGTTCATTGCGCTGCTGGCATTTCACGCTCGTCTACGGTCGTGCTCGCCTACCTGATTGAATATGAAGGCATGACCCTTCTCGGTGCATTTAGCACAACCAAAAAGAACAGAAGCGTTATCTGGCCTAACGTTGGTTTTATGGGGGTCTTGTGCAGATTTGAAGCGGACATTGCGGGAAGCAGACGAGCTGGAGCTGACAAAGGCCGTGCTGGCAAAGACCAGTCTGGACCAGAAAGAGACGTCAAAGTTCCGACTGTAGATCTGGATGAGTACAAAGTCTGGACTGATTGGGATCAGGAAGCTTACGAAGCGGCTAAAGTGGTTGACCGCGAAGAGTCAAAATAGATCAAAATAGCCTGGTCTTAGCAATGTGCCACACTGTGACTGAGAGCTTGGTACTGGTGTCAGTGTTGGTGGTTCCGCTTTGTCGAAAAAAACATGTCAAGAGTTGGGGGGAGCTATGCTTCGACAAGAGGGCTCCTGCTCCGTAGCACCATTTGTTCACGAGACAAGCGTCCGCCCTCACAGCAAGACCACTGCACCTATTGGATTCGAAAGCGGAGAGGTGATTTCCGTTGTAATGCCTCCAGAGTGAAATCCCGTTGGCAAGCAACCAATATGAGTTGCGGGTCTTTGGAATGCCCCTCGCGCACCAAAAAGAGGACGGCGCCCACCTTGGCCGAGATGCAGTTTGACACTTATTTGGGTATTGCTTTGAGAGGCCCCACTGTGAGTCCTCGGACCCCCCCCCAAAAAAAGAAAACACAAAAGCAAAAGAAACAAGAAAGGAAAAGGACAAAGAACAGAGAGTGGTGTACTTTTGGCTTTCCTTTCACAACAAAAAAGGGTACCCTGCAAAAAAGCGCACCAGGCTTCTCCCATGAGATGAACCTCACGGATATCAGTTTCCTCACGCTTCCAAGAAATGTCAACCACATGATAGGAACAAATCGGTGAATGGTACTGTTCCTTCATTTTATGGAAGCCTTTTTTTGGCCCTTGGGCATTCTGGGTGCGAAATCGCAGTGTGGGTTGCAACCGAAGGGTTGCTCCGAGCCTCATAGCAATCAACCCACAGGCTGTCCCTTCCAGTGGCCGATCTTTCCAGCCTTGCGACATGAGCAATTGCAACCTGCGAACGCGGGAGGTTTACCTTGCAGCCCAAAGCCAGGCCAGTCCGATTTCTCCAAACCCACTGGGGACCATGACTTGTGTATCTTACTATACCTGATGGCTTGGTCACTTGCCTCTCTGTTTTTGGGCATGACTTACACATTCTCCCCTAGATCCTACCGGAAATATGCCACTTCAGTCTTTATATGCCCACCATGGGGCTTCTTAACTGGTGGACCCTATTGACTCTATTTCGTAGTTGGGCAGATAAAAGGAATCCAGTAGTAGGGGACCACTGCACCCAGGAAAGCAACGAGGGCGCCTGTGGCGCCAGCATCAGCGCCTGCAAAGCCAGATGGGCGCTCGCCGAGGATCTTCTTGCAGTGGTCGGGGCTTCGCTTCGGCAGGACGCCAGGACTCTTGGCTTCGGCGCGTTTTTTTGGAGGAGTCCTCGCAAGTCAGGATCCAAACCCAAGTGGTTTGGATTAATTTTTGAACCCCAGTGCCTTTGAAGCCAAGCCCCCGAACCTCCAAAGCACCAAACCAAGCAACCAACTAGGCGGAGGGTTCCAGGGTTTCCGGGGCTGTTGGAGATGCCACGCGGGCGTACTTCTTTTTGAGGGAGCCCTCACCAGGGTAGTTTTCCCTTTAAAGCACCCCTAAAAAGGGTACCTGCAGAAAAAGGCACACTTATTTTCAGGTAATCCTTGATTTGCGGGGTTGGATTGGTTTGCGGATAGCAATTGGTTCTTTAGGGTAAAATGGGGACCACGCCCTAAGCTCCAAACCACCAGTCCAATGGCTGCTATTCGGTTTGACAAGATGTGACTGTCTGGCAACAGCAGCCAAGGACCTATAGCAACACGGCGGGGAGCCATTTGACACTTCTGGCCTGGGAGCCTTGGCAGACAAAGAAAATGCCTAATAATTACATGATTCTCCAA